TCATGTGCAGATCCGAAGTAACTATTATTACAGCGGTTGAGGTCAGCACATTGCACATAGACTCTGGGTCAATCGGCTAATGTGTGTACTTCGTATAAGCACTGGTGAAGATATTAAATTTCAGCACTTGAATGCTCATGCGTTTTAACTACGGATACAGTAGTAAGGAATGTAACGACTGTCATACATAAATTAACGAATCATAATTCACGCGAAAATGATGAAACCCTATAAAATCTGGCAATTTGGCTTCTCCGAAACTATGCTTTTTTGCGCATTACTTAACTCATTTGCTAAAAGAATCTGTCTTTGTCACTATATTTATGCATATCATATATCCATGATTTCAGGATTACTAAAGCATAGTTCGGGCTAAAGGAAAGATTGTATTAGCGTTTATAATTATGTGAGAAAGCACCTCATCCGCTAAAACTTTGTCATTGCAAACATCCTGGAGGGCAATATGGCAGGTCAATTAGCAGTGAAATCTAATTTTTGATGGGTAAAGCGTTTGCCAACATATTTTGGCGTATAAACCCATGCTCGAATACAATATATATTTAAGTAGCAGATATTCGTCAGATTAAGTTTTCAAAGGGATCCGGCACCATTTATAGAATAAAGTTCACAAATATTAATCTCTACCTCAAAACATATTGTGGTTTAATTATTTAGATAGTTTAGTTCAGGTTCAAGGAGTTGCAGCTGTTTTGAAATCTGAAACATGATTCACAGCGATCATAATCCTCAGGTGGCAAGCCACTTGTGGGTAAGGTGAGGTAACAGAGAAGCCATGCAGGACTGATCTCGTAAGTTTCTTCCTGCTTGCTAATTCTGATTTTTCTCCGATACATCGTGATCGCTTACCAAAGCTTTCTTTCCCGCCATTTTGCTTCCGGGCAAACGATGCTTCTGCCACTATTTTATTTTACCATATTTTCTTTATTTAGCCGTGTTAGGCCACTGCAGAATGATGAACAAATTTGAATCAGATTTAAATTATTTAAATAATTAAGAAACAAGATACATTTATATCAACAAATATTTACAAATTTCAACACAAAAACAGTGTCTAATTCTTTTTTGAAAACTTCCTTTAAGGAATACATGCTACTTGGAGAAGTACGGAGGGCGCTTTAAAAAATAACTTGATTCACATACACTGTATTCCCATGTTTAACTAAATCAGCAAAACGCGAATCTTAAAATATATAAAGATGCATTGCCAAAATTATTAGCCACTCACTTCTCTCAATTAAATGCATATTAATAGCAAAAGTCGCATGTAGCATGTGGCAACTTCCGTTTTAACAGACTGTGGCAATATTGTAAAAGTTCTGTTAATGGAATATTGTTTAGTCTTGTTTCCCTGCTGTTCATTTAAAAATGTGAACGACAGTGTTTTCGTTAGTTCTTTCAATTCTTCTGCTTCATGATTTTATGCAACAGGCATCGTCAAGCTGGCGTACGAGTCTTCGTCTTCTTGTAATGGAATGAACGC